CTATATCTTGTATCTGTAATATATTGGAAAGGTGTATCCAATCTTTTCCAAAAAGAGAGACTAGCAGGAGACTAACTAGGAAGCCAATCACTGCAGCCAGCCACAGTACCTTTCACATGCTGTTGCTTCCAGAGAGACAGCTCACAAGAGGGACAGAAGGGCTTCACACAGAGCCTTATATGCTGTTTCTCTGTCCCTCCCCAGAGCACTGGGATTGGAAGGGACCTCAGGGACAGATCACAGACACTGGCCAGCTAGAGATGTCAACACCAGAGCAGTTCTTCCCCCCTTTCCCCTTCCCTCTTCTGAGTTTCTGTTTCCCTGCAAGCCTGGCTCCAAAACTCCAAAATTTTCTGAAACGTTTTGGATGGTTTTTTTTCATTTCGGAGATGTCTCAGAGCCTTGTGTTTTATTTTGGATTAGGTGTTTCGGGTGCCAAAACAGGCCAAAGCACCTCCAGAACAAAACGTCTGCTGAAATTTCACACAGCCTAGTTCTTGCCACACTGACTGACCAAAGCCACAGTTCAATTCCCCAGTTGGGCCTTCTAGGTGATGTTCCAGCCACACACCATCTCCCATGGGTGCCCAGCTGAGACTGCTCTACTGAAAGGACATGTAAATGGCATCTGCTCCAATCTAACAGCCAGCAAGGAAGCCAACCTTGCTGCCTTTCTGTGCAGCTCCCTTCTGGAGAGCTGCTTTGCACCACAAAGCAGCACTAACAGGCCACCTGTTATCTGTCCAGTTGCTCAACCTCTTCTTTAACAGCTTGATGCCACCTATTCTATTGCAAATGAGCCCTGCCCAAATGTGCTTTGTTGCTCCAAGAACAAACCTTGTCTGGTATAATTGCTCATGGGAACTTTATTTGACTGTATATACAAAGGACAGGGCTGGACTCGTAATGAACTCTTGTCCATGGTGCAAACCACCTTATGCCACTTGTTTTGTTCTACATGTAAGCCACAGCAGAGCATCTCTTGCTAGCCCTAATATTCCCTGGGAGTAAGATTCATCAATAAAAATTGCAGCTTTCCTTGTGAAGGATACTTCCCCCACATAGACTTGGTCTGAGACTTTAGAGGCCCTTCCTGAAAGCTTGGAAGGCCTTGTACTCTTCTTGAACCTACAATGTTGCTTATTCACCTCTAACAAGATGCCCAGCACTTCTCAAAGTGAGCCAGTAGACCAGGTGTCAGGTCTAGTGCAACTAGGGTGACCACCTTTTCAAAACAGAAAGGCAGGACACATGCCTCCCCGCCATAGCCCTCTATCTACCCTCCCCCACCCTCCACCATGGCATGGCCAGAGCAGAGCCAAGCGGAGCGGGGCCACATGTGGGCTGCCTGCTGCAGGCTTTGGGCTCCCTACCCCACTACTTTTCCCCAAGAGCCCACGCCAACTGCACACCCCCTGCCCATGCAGCAGCAATGGGCACTCCACACCACTGCTGCCCCTGCTGCTGCTGGGTGGGCAGGATGTGTGCAGCTGGCATGGGGGCATGGGGAATGGCATGAGGGGGGGGCAAGGGAAATACAGCAGGGCAGGGAGCCCAGAGCCTGCAACAGGCAGCACACATCTGCCTCACCCCACGCACAAATCAGGGGGATGTGCTCCCTAGGGAATGCATGCAGCAATGGGGAACTGCCCGCCCCCCCCCCGGATGAGCCACCCATGGCTCCTTCCCATGCCCTGCCCCAGACCCTGGCCCCATGCACTGCCCCCACTAGGCAGCGCCCCCATTCCCAGCCCCTGCCCCACTCCCTCCCTCACTCTGGGGGCTAAGATCTGCCCCTCCCCATGCCTCCTTAACCCCGCATAAATCTGCCTGCAGGGAGCTGCTTTTCACACTGCCTGGCTGTCTTGCTGGCCATGTGCATGAGTGCAGGTGCTCATGTGCATGTGGGGCCCCCTGTGTCTTGCTCCCTGCAGCCCCAACCAGCCAACCTGCAGGGAAACATGCCATTTCTCAATCCCTGCACAATACTGAGAACCTGGGACAAATGCTGTCCTGGAGTCATGCAGCCCAAAACTGGGACTTGATAATCCCATTCTGGGGCTGTTCCACCCAATTAGGGATGGGTGGTCCCCTAGGTGCAACTTTGAACAAGTGAATTCTGGGAAATGTAATCCAGAGGGGTGGACACAAGGTATGGGTTGGGGAGCATGTGACCCACATCCGGTGTTTGGAGGTCTATGCAAAACAGACTCCTCGCTCAGCAGTCGCCACCTCCCTTGGAAGCCCATTCCAGATTCTGGCAACCCTTACCATAAAGAAGTTCTTCCTTCTGCGCTGGTTAACTTAGTACATGGGCCAAAAGTGGTTGAGACAGACAGGTAGCTTCTTAGCAAGTCTCTCTGATGCTTGTCATCACTATGGACTGGAGAGGGAGGGAACAACCTCTCTCCTTTGGAGCAGAGGAAATTTGTGGACGAAAAGCAAGTAAAAGGAAGAGCCAACAATAGTTTTGAGATTTGGACAACTTGAGAAAATGTGACAAAGGACCTTTGGATTGTTCTGTTTGGGATGTTTGGCCACCCTAAGAAGAAGACGTTTTGCTTTCTCCACATGGAAAATGTCTTTAAAAATAATAAAACCAACCCAAACAAAACAAAACTGGATTGACCCTTTGACAGGAGGGAGACTGAAGAGCAAAGGGGTAACTGAGGCAAGAACATGCTACCAGGAAGATAAAGGAACCCATTATAAGAATAATGCTCTGGGTGACTCTTTGTTTATGGGTCTGAGTGTGGTTTCTAAAGCCATACACTCACCCCAGAGAAGCTATGTGACAACAGCTTAGTCATTCTAGCTATGCTACTTCTAGACCCCCAGTACTCTGCTATCTAAGCATTTCACAACACCCCTGCAAGGTCAGGTGGTGCTATTAACTCCGTGTTACAGAGTGGGAAATGAAGCAGAGAGACTAGTATCTATGCCATCCACACACTATGGAGGGCAGCAGCATGCTCAAATGTGCCTGCTGTTCTGTGCAGGCTATGTCCTGAACTGGGAGCAGTTTGGCTCCATTTAGTGCAGCACTGAAGGCAGGCTAATATGCTCAGTCTCTCCTTTGTACTAATTAGCCCACCCACAGTGCCATACAAATGGGATATGCTGCTTCTGGTCTGGGAGGCAGCAAATGCAAAGCAGTGCTGTGTGTTTAAAGCATTCCTGGCACAATAAAGGTTCAGTGTACCCATAGCTTAAGTGACTTGACCAGGGTCATGTAGGAAGTTTGTGACAGAACTGGGAATGAACCCAGATTTTTTCATCCCTGTCCAGTACCTTAATAACTGGAAAGTCCCTGCTTCTGCCTGTTGAGTCAGGCAAAAATCCTTTAGGGGCAGTTTCTTCACTCTTTGGTTTGGAGGTGCCATGTGTATTCCAAGAGGTGTAGGCCTGGGATTTTCAAATGGTGAGATGATTTGCACAACCAGTGTTCAAAGGGTGAAACGGGCACTTAAGCCCTTGAGATGGGGTAGAAGTGGTGCCCACTCTTCTGTACAGGGGTAGTTTCACCCAATGAAAGCAAGTCTTTGTGGTGCTGTCCACCCTCTGCACAGCTGTGTGAAGGTGAGCAAGGGTTCCTGGTCCATCAAACCTGGGCAGCAAGTGTGTGTAGAGAGAGGTGAAGCACAGATGTCACTCTGGAACAAGATGTCAGCACCCCCAAAAGTATATAAATATGTCCGCTGTGAATCCCAGCATGTCTGCTCCCAGGCCTGTATTTAATGAGGGACTTTTTATTAATGCTGAGGACCCCTGAGCATTGTGTGCATGCACGTATAATGGTGTTTAGCATTAGTTGTGTCTTCCTGGCCTTAGGGGACCCTAAGCTAAGACCATGCCCTCTTGTCTTGACAGCACTGTCAAGGCAGGGGCTGAGAAAGCTGCTCTTCAGAGCTGCTTATAAGCCTGTATCAGTCCTGAAGTTGTCAGGGACTGAAACACCTCCCCATCACTTCTCAGAAGTTCACAAGCTACCTCTCCCTCTGTTTCAGTCCGGGGCCTTCTGGCAAGGTGCTCCCAGGGAAGGCATCTAAAACATAGCCTCTGGCTTCTCCCTCACTTGTAGTCTGCTAGAGCCTGAAATTTTTCTGCTTTGGGAGATTCCCACATTGTTTCTGAGGCATCAGTACCTGGACTCATAGTGTCCTAAGCTAAGCTATGAGAGGGTGTGTCCTTGAAACTATGTAAACTGAAATAAATAATCATTTGTCTGCCATTGGGCTCCTTTTTGAGAAACAGCATGGTCTAATGGCTAGGGACATGGCCAAGCAATCAATCTGGTCCTGGCTCTGCCATTGACTTGCTGTGTGACTTTGAACAAGTTAGTTCACTTTTTCCATGCCTCTGTTTCCCTTCCATCCTCTGTCTGCAGGACTGTCTCTTACTGTGTGTCAGTACAGCTCCTAGCACAGTGGGACTGAGTCCAAGGAGCTGGTGCTCTGCTTTCTCCCATCTTCTTTTGGTTACTGTAAGAGAGACCCCTGCCCCTATTACTAGGAAGGAGGGGAGTGGAGCCAGAAGCAGGCTGTGGGGAGTCCAAGGGCAAAGCGGCAGCAGGTGAAAGCTGCCTGGGTGACCTGTGCAAAGGTGAGAAATTAAAGGACAGACTGATAATGGCAGAATAAACAGCACCTGGGCCCTGGGAGCATGAGACAGAGGCACTATAGAGGTGCTGGGCTTGGGTCATGTAAGCCCAGCCTCTGGCCATAGAGGGGTATGGCTGCCAGCCCTGGCTGCTACAGGATACAGAGCTCCTGGGAAAGAGCTAGCTGCAGTGAGAAATCAAACTAACCCAGGAGAAGTACTTGGAAAGATGGAGGCAACCTAGCCAGAGAGGCAGGGCTCAAGCACTAGAGGCCCAGAGGGATGCATCTGAGTTAGGACTGGTTAGGTGACTGTTTTGAGTTGAACCAGAACTGTGTTGTGGCCACAGGAGAGGAGGTGGCCAGGGGTAGGGTGCCTGGGAGGCATTATCAGGGATCTCTGTCTATCAGGGACTGGAGATGGACCAAACTTGAGAAAGCTGAAGTTGATGTGGACCCCCAAGGTTTGCTACACTACTCATAACTTCTCAAAGTCTTCTCCATGACCAAAAACAGTATTGTGTCTTTTATTGGTAAAGAGATGATCCCTGTTGCACTTGCTAGCAAAAGTGTACTGTGTCAAAGGAAAGGGGAACGCATTTAGAAAGCCTTTTCTGAAAGAAATTGTCTTGAAATTTCCTGCTTTGAAATATCATCAAATCTATTTCTGCATGAAATGTTCCTTGACCATTTTGAAGGGTTAAGAAACTTTTGAATAGTTACAAGCTACACTTAATTCCTTCTTTCTTTCAATAGATGGGGCTGGCAGGGCTGAAGTATCAGTCAACTGATGCCCTTGAGTTTTGTACAGGCCTACACACACTTCCACCTAAGTGTTAATACTCCCTACCTCTCTCTGCCTAGAGAGATGTACTGTAGTTAAGTTGTGTTTGCCATGAAGAAAGCAGGATAGAGGTGTGCCTTATAAAGGTCTATAAGGTGTATTTCTATGATTAACTAGGCCTGTCTTTCCTGCTTAAAAATGCTGTTTGGGGGGGTTGTTTTATTTTTCTCTCTGTTTCATGGTCCCATACACATCCAAGAACCATCCCAAGGTAAAAACATGCAGTAAAGATGAGACAGACTTTTATAAAGGTCAACCTCATGATCCCATTTGGAGTTGACCTCACCTACTCTCTACTATGGATATTTTTCCATGTTTCTGGGCTTTGCTGGTTGTTGCATGGGGCAAGGCAGATCGCCCCCCCCCCCTTCCTGTAGCTACGTGTGTCAGGGGTTTTATTTGCCTTCCTCAGAAGCATTGGGCACTGGCTGCAACCAAGACTGGGGATTTTGACTGGGGTGAGCCAATGCTTCTGCTGGAACTAAAACCCAGAGGTTGCTGGCTAGACAGTCTTGCCCATCTGCTAAGGTCAGATTGATCACCACATCTGGGGTCAGGAAGGAATTTTCTTCCATGGTCAGATTTGTACAGCTTTTGACTTCCTCTGTAGCAAAAAATGTGGCCCTCTTCCTTGGATCTCTTGAATGTGTTTTAACAACCCTTGCAGCAGCAGGACGTTGGGCACCATCATCCCATTGCTTTACCTGTGACAAAATAGGCTGCTATGCTTTATGGTTGCATGGCAGGGTTGCCTATGTAGTTGAAGTAATAGGTTAGACAAGGACTTGCTTGGGATGGTTTGGATAGGAGTGATCCCACTTCAGGTAGGGGTGGGTGGTTGGACTAAATGACCTCTATAGGTTCCTTCCAGCCCTGCTTTTCTATGCTTCTACTATTTTTATTTTATGATAAGAGGGCTTGTCTGGTTTTACATCAGGATAGATCATGCTCATGAGTTACCTGGATGGAGTGTGTGGGGGGGTGGAAATAACCTCGGCCTTCTATCAGCAGAAATGTGTCCTTCTTCTATGGCGAGGAAAGGCTAAAACTTCAGTCTAACAGTTGCTGACTGACAAACATGAGCAAGAAGATTGTTTTAAAACAGGCAGGTAGAGGGCTCCCTTTGACTATCCGATGAGAGCATAAGCAGCAGAGCCTCTCTGGGTTGCTGCACACATCTCAAAAGGCTCCACACTTAAAGAAGCCAGGAAGAACCAAAATGCTCCCCCCTGCTCTCCCTCCTTGCATAGTATGGACTCCCAATGCAGCCCCAGGGAAGCTCTGGCTCCTCATTTTACATCCTTCTGAAGTGTGCCATTCACAGGCGATTCCTCCCTGTGCTGTCACCCCTGGGTGCTGGAGAAGTGCATGCCATTATTCAGAGAAGAGAAAACTCATCAGCTGTATGAAAGGCTTGTGTAACAGGCATGGGATGGTTTTCTTGTCATGCCAACAAGCAAAGCATTGGCCAGTGCATGACAAACACAGCCCCTTCCCACGAGGCATTGACTTCACATTTGTACTGATCACAGATATGTGTGTGATGATGATGATGATGACATCAAGCAGGGTACAGTGTGTAATTGCACATTAACCTCTTCCACGTTGCTGGTGACTAGCATAAGGCCAAGTAGAGCGAGGGGTGTGTAGCAGGCCTGCGAGCAAATGTGACTGCTGTTATGCAATGCTTGGTCTTGCCGCATGCCTGCCAGCGCTCTCCCTGCTTCTGTCAGACGCTCAGAGCTTATGCTGTTGCTGCAGCGAATGTGAAACCAGTTTCAGATGCTGGGTCATATTCTCTGTGACAGTAGAGTAGGTCGACTCCTGTCATGCTCCACCCTCCATAAATGTGGCCCAACAGCCCCTTTTGTCCTGATATTCAGAACAAAATAGCCCACAGGGAGCTCTGTGTTCAGTGAGTCAGAGGGCAACAGGGGCAGCAGCAGCCTCCCTGTTATACCCCTGTGCTCCCCAAACTATGTTGTTTCTAGTACCAGAGCCAACTCAGGTACCTCTGCATGGCACCTTGGTGTCTCGTATAGGCCTAGAGTCCCATAACATGTGTGCAGTGACAATCCTGCAGCTGATCAGAGACAGCCTGTACTCTCTGGTGCCACAGCACAGCATGGGGAGTCAGTCAAGCAGCCTCAGCCTTGAACCTGGCTGCCTCAAATTCTGCACAAGTACAGACTGGAGCATTATTTTAATGCAACCATTCACATGCAATTCCTAGTTCCTACTAAATAAACAACAAAAAATCTGAGCAGTGCTAGTGTACCCTAGTGCTTCTGATTCAAACACAATGTTCCTCCCTGCCATCACATTAGCCCCAGATCCCTTGATGATGGGCTCCCTTCTCTGAGCGAATCCGATGAGAAAGCACTTACTTTGGGCAGCCCTGTCCAAAGTAGCAGGGCAGCATATGGAGACAGCACAGCATGCTGTGACACTGGCTGCTTTTCTTTGCTCTGCTACTGACCTGCTGTTTGCCCTTATCCACATCACTTCACCTCCATTTCCCCCCTCTCCCATTTGTCATGTCAACTGTTGGCCTCTTGGGGTAAGGACCGTCCTGTTCTATGACACCACTTAGTACCACTGGGGCATAAGCTTGGTTAGGGCTTTGAGAGGCTCCTGCAGAACTAATAATCGGAAGTCAGTGCCACAGCCATCAATAAGCAAAACACTGGGAGGAGAAGCTGGGCGATAATGTTCTACACTACAGGGATCATTCACAATAGGTGAATGGTGACATTCATTTTAGGGATCCAAAGAGGCATAGAAACTTGGGCAGATGAGACTAAAAAGGCACCATCACGTACACATACATGGTTCAACTGAGTGCTAGCATTTTGGATTGAGTGGGAAGCTTCCCCGTCCCCAGTTGGTACATAGGCAAAAAGCCCACAGTGAGTAGGGAGGGAAACGATTTGCTTTGCTTTGAAGTGCTGGACAGGGATCATTTGCAATGATTTCCATAGGGGAATCCAAAGGTTATTAAGGTCTCTCTTCCCTCAGTTGTGTAACATGTAGACGTGTTCTTGGGGGAATCACTATTTGCAATGAAAGTACTGTTAAGTTTCTGTTCCTCCTTCTTCTAGTAAAAAGCCATCCCAGTGACAGCTGCTCCTCAAGTTGTGGCTAGGTTCACTTGAAGGACTGGAGGCTGTTACAATCAAAACGTCAGTTGTTGCCATTGAGTTTGAATTCCTGAGAAGTTGCACTGGAGACAGTACAAAGGTCCCTCCACCCCCACAACTTTGACCTCCAGTCGCTGCAGTTCAGCCACACCTGGGCACGGCACACTCATTGTAAGAAGAAAGGCTGCTTGACAGTGATCGGGCAGAGGCAGCTGCCACTCATCTTAAGCATGACATTCCTCTTTTGTAGCCAAGTGACCCCACTCTGATGCCTGCTGAGCTGAGGCAGAGTTGGCTCATCTGCAGAGTGAGGACCCACCTGACAACAAGACAGGCAGGTTGATTTGAGGATTTAACACTTCCAGGGCCTAATTTAAAGCTGGTTGCCGCTCAAAAGGATCTCTGAGCTGGTTTCCTTGGTTGTTGATTTGACCCTTTAAAAATTGCCAGCCAGACTGCATTCCTGTGAAGTGGGTCCTGACTAGTCCACACTATAAGATGGCATGCATGGAACTCCAAAAATACGGAGTGCTGCTTTCCCTGACAACTGACAGCTCTGGGCTGGCTTGCTCCTCATTGCGTTTCTAGGACTCCACCTTGCACTCATTCAAATCTATGGGAAACCTTGCCGTGGACTGCAATGATAGAGGACGGTGACCCTGTATTGGAGCTCAGCAAAACACAGTGATCATCTTCTGGGGAAACAAGAGAGCTCCCTGTGCCTCAGTTGCTGTAAGGATTTACATGCACTTCCACCACTGGTGTAGCTGCAGTGGCATAAACCCTTCACATAGCCAGAATAAACTGCTCTAGGCTCCATTGAGTATGTTTGGCTTACCCTGTCTTCAAGCAGGTCTAAAACAGCAGCTCTGCCTCTTGACACCAGGGCTGTGCTTTACCAGCCCATTAGCTGCAATGGAGAGGTGGGGAGAAGAAGTGGGGGACAATCCTCAAGGAGTATACAGAAATGACAGATCAGTTAAAACTTGGGTCCTTTTCAAATGGATAAAGCTGTGCTACCAGCCATTCCTTTCACTAGTTCTCTGACAGGTTGTGAGGTTGCAGTTTATGGGTTACCTAGCTGGACTATGACTAAATGTACTAGATTTGCAGAAATACAGAGGGGAAAAACATTATAGCTGCAAGCATAACTTGTATTCTAGGCATGCTGTTCAGATATAGCCAGTGTTCAGGTGTTCCTGAAATTTTGGAGAAAGGGGAAAAATGGAGGGGAGGAGGGGAAAGCAGGGAACAGATATAAAGTATGATCAAATTTATTTTACCTGAAGCACAACTCTGT